CAGAAAATACTCGCGAATGGTGCTACGTGGCAGCTTCGAGAGTCGCTGATTACCTCGAAAAGTGGAATTATGAGATTTGCAGTCAAAACAGGTAAGATTTCTGAAACTTTTCGGAATGTATATTTAAATGAAAAATATAGAAAATTTGAGAAATTTTAAGCCAAAAATCGCTGAAAATGGCTGAAAACTAGCCGAGATACATCGATTTTCATTTTTACTGAGGCTTCGGAAATTTTGTAGTTTGTAGTCTAAGCCTCAGTAAAGCTTCAAAGCGCGCTAACTCGGCTCATTTTCAACCGTTTTCATCGGGTTCTGAAACGTCCAGGAGCCAGATGAATCGGGGAATTTAGGATTTTGAAAGGATTTTTTTTTGGAAAAAAAACAGCATAAATCCAGGTATTCAAGAATTTAAGAATTTCAGAATTCAAAAAAACTAGAAGTCAAGGATTTCAAGAATCCGAAAATTCTAGAATTTCTAAATCCAAGAATCTTAGGATTTAGGGAATTTAAGAATCCGAAAATCCAATAATTAATTAATCTAAGAATCCAAGAATCCGAAAATTTAATAATCCAGGAATACAGGAATCCAGGATTTTAGAATTCAAGAATTTAGGAATTCAAGAATCCCAAAATCCTAATAATTTAAGAATTTGAAGATCCAAGAAACCAGGAATCTGAAAATCTAGAAATCAATGAATCCAAAAATCTAGGAATCCAGGAATCCAAGAATACAAAAATCTAGGAAATCAAAAATTAAAGAATCCAGGAATTCAAGAATTTCTGAATTTAGGAATGCTAGAATCTAGGAATATAGGAATTCAGGGATTCAAAGATCCAAGAACCCAGAAATCAATAAAGCCTAGAATCCAAGAATCTAAAAACCGAGACACTAGGAATCCAAGAATTCAGAAATTTAGGAAATCTAAGAATACAGGAATCCAGGAATTCAAGAATATAGAAATCTAGGAATCTAGTAATCTACGAATCAGACCTTCTAGGAGTCTAGGACCATGAGAATTAACGAATTCAAAAATTCGAGAATCCGAGGATCCTAGAATTCAAGCATTTAGGAATCCAGGAATCCCAGAATCTTTAAATCCAATAATCTAGGAATTAAAAAACCCGAAAATTCAATAAGAATCTAGGAATCCAATAATCCAAAAATTTCAGAATTCAAGAATCCAGAAATCCTAGAATCTCTGAATCCAAGATTCCAGGAATTCAAGAATCCAAGAATCCCAAAAATTAAAAAAAAAAGAATCCTAGAATCCTAAAATCTAAAAATCAAGAATCCAGAAATCCAATAATCCAATAATCTAGGAATCCAAAAAATCGAGAATTCAGAAATTCATAAATCCAAAAATCGACGAATTCAAGAATCCGAAAATCCAGGAATCTAAAAATTCAACAAATCAAAGATCTAGTAATCAAAGCATTCAATAATTTTAAAATCTACGAATCCAGGAACTTAAAAATCGATAAATCTAGAATCAGGAGAGATAATTAGATAGTAATTACAGTAATCAGTTTTGATCCTTGACTCATCATTTTAGTACATTTTTATAGCTTCTAAGAACACATTTTTGACCCGATTCCGTTAAAAACATCCGGAAACGACTTCTGACTCACCGCTTGTGGCGTTGGCCGCGACGTCGGCGTGTATTCAATGATCTTCGAGATGAGATCGATTGCCTCGGCGGGGGTGTGCACACGGAACACCTTATTCCATGGATGAGCCTTGATCTGTGGGAATTTGAACTCCTTGTAGTTTGGATTCATGCTTTGAATCTGTTCACGAGTCGGCGTTCCGAGTACTTTGATAATCTCGACGAGTTGATCGACGCCAGAGTCTCCTGGGAAGATCGGCTGGCCGAGCAACAGTTCGGCAATCACAGTTCCTGCGGACCACACGTCGATCGAGTTCGTGTAGTTTGTAGCCCCGAATATGAGCTCCGGAGCACGGTAGTAGCGAGAGCAGATGTAGGAGACGTTTGGCTCGTTGCGGACCAGATATTTTGCTGATCCGAAATCGCACAGCTTCAGAATTCCAGTTTCTGGATCGATGAGCAGATTCTGGGGTTTGATGTCACGATGGCAGATGCCGATGCTGTGAATGTAGGCGAGAGAGCGAAGCAATTGGTACATGTACAGTTTCACGTAGATCATTGGAATCGATTGTCGCTGCTTTGAGTAGTGTCGGGCCACTCTGCAAAAATTGCGGATTTTTTTAGAGATTCACTACACAGACTACAAACTACAAAAATTTGAAATTCCTTTAAGCCCAAAATCATCAAAAACGGTTGAAAATGCGCAGAATTATGGCGATTTTATATTTTTACTGAGGCTTACGCAATTCTGCAGTTTTCTATTAGCCTCAGTAAAGTTTGCGCAAGGTTCTCGAATCTAATAAACTACAAACTATAAAACTTCATAAGCCTCAGCAAAAAACAAAAATCGCTCACAATTTCTCAAATTTTCTAGACTACAAATTACAAAATAGCTAAGCCTCAGTGAAAATTCAGAATCGCTGTAATTTCGCACATTTTCGACCCCCGTTTCGATGATTTTTAGCTCAAAATTTGTCAAATTGCGTAGACTACAAACTACAAACGTTTAAGCCTCAGAGAAAATACAAAAACCCTGTAATTTCGTTTATTTTCGACCCTTCTTGACGTTTTGTAGCTCAAACTTTCCTTTTTTCCTAATCTTCGTAGACTACAAACTACAAATCCCTAAGCCTACGTAAAAACTAATTTTCAGCCGTTTTCACAGTGATTTGTAGCTCGAATTTCGTCAAATTATCTGAACTACAAACTACACGAGTCTATAAGCCTCAGTGAAGCTATAAAAACGTAAAAATCAGCTTTTCTTTTTTTTCAACGATTTTTAGCTTTTTTCTAGACTACAAACTACAAAAAACTCTAAGCCTCGGTAAAATTTGAAATCGCTGTAATTTCGCTCATTTTTACCCGATTTCGATGATTTTTAGCTCAACATTTCTCTAATTTCCAAGACTACAAACTACAAAAGTCACCTGTAGACAGTCTCTGGAACGTATTCGAGTATCAGATTCAGATACAGCTCGTCCTTCTTGTCGCCGCTCGAATAGAAGAAGTACTTCAGTTTGACGATATTTGGATGATTGAGCTTTCGCATGATTTGAAGTTCTCGATTCTTGAATCGCTTATCCTGAAGCACTTTTTTGATGGCCACCATTTCGTTGGTTGTCGACAGTTTGGCGAGGAACACCACACCAAACGATCCGTTTCCAATCACTTTTTGATCGTAGTACGAGATTTCGACCTGCAAAATAGAAATCAGAAGACGTTGAACAAAAAATTCCAGACATTTTACCCCAAAATTCATCGAAAACGGCTTAAAATCATCCGAGTTAAAGCGTTTTGAAAGTTTACTGAGGCTTATAATCGTTTGTAGTTTGTAGTCTAGGTCTCAGGAAAATTTTAGAAACACTAAAAACAAACTACTGAATATAGCTAAGTCTCAGTAAAAGCTATTTTCCACTCATTTCTAATGATTTTTAGTTTAAAAAAATCCGTCGAAATTTACGGACTACGAACTACAGAAATTTTTAAGCCTCAGTAAAGTTTCGAAAACGCTGTAAATCAGCGAATTTTCCCTCTTTTTTTTCCAACGATTTTCAGCTTGTTTTCTAGACTACAAACTACAAAAATTTCTTAGGCCTCAGTAAAAGCTAATTTTCAATGATTTTTAGCTCAAAATTCATCAAATTTCTCACCAATTTCTTGTCAATCTCCGTCATATTTCACAGCAATCAAAATCTGTATTTTGAAACGTAAAAAACTGTGTTTTCACAGACTTTTAGAGCCAAATTTCAGAGAAAAATTGCAACGTTTTCTGATGACTCACTTATGATTCGTGGCAGCCAGCAGCAGAAAAAAAATACATGAGAAAAAAGTTTGGTTTTAAGCTCCACAATCGAGGAAATCGCCTATTTGACAATAAAAATGGATTTTTAATGAATTTTGAAATTCTGAACCGCGTCAAAAACAGTAAAACTCGCTTTCAGTCATTTTTCGATAATTTCAGGTCAATTGGACAGTTTGAACCAATTTTCAGCCATTTTTTTGGTCTTTTACAAACAATTAAGACGGAAATTTGGGATTTTTGAGGAAGAACCCAAATTTTGACATAATTTCGACCGAATTTTCATAATTTTCAGTCGGTTTTGGCTATATTTATACTATATTTTTCCACGTCATCTTCAGACCACATTCAATGAATTTTGAGCAATTTGAAGCCGATTTTCAGTTATTTCCGTTAATTTTAAACAGAATTTCGCAGGCAATTCTCAAAATCCGACTGGGTTTCATTCGTTATCGTTTTGATCATTTTAGTCAATATTTTATCGATTTCTAGTCAATGTAAACTAGATTAAACGATTTTATGACTGGGAATTTTCAGCGATTTTCCAATCTTTTTCAGTCATTTATAGCTTCTTTTATGTTGTTTTAAGCCATTTTTCAACCCATTTTTCCTGACAAACCTGCTGATCAACGCCATCTGTGGCTACAGACGCGACAACCATCGTAACCTGTTTGCCGCTTTTCAGCGAGCATGACAACAGCTGCTTATTCATCACCAAACAGCGTCAACGGCGTCGTCGTGAGTAGAAGACGTCTGGTGGAGCAACACGAGTGGGGTGGGGAAAGAAGCAGAAGGAGAGCTCCGTTATGTGTGTCAGTTGGTGAGAAGAGAGAGTATAGAGAAAGGGAGAGAGAGTGGAGAGACGCAGACGACAGGAGAGCACAGAAATATTGAACAGGGCGAATCGAAGAGATATATGAAGAGAGATGAGGATACCACCTGAAACAAAAAAAATGATATGATTTGCAAAAATGATGAAAAACAGAAAGAAAGAGAGACAAAAAAACGGCGAAAATCGATAGATATGGTTGTGGCGACAAGAGAAGGGAGACAGCGAGAGAGAGAGAGGGAGAGACGCAGAGATTTTTGTTAGTGATAATTTGTGTCAAAATAAGAGGGGGAAACTGATAATTATTTTTATTTCAAAGTGTCCCCCAAAGAGAAGGGAGATATAAAGTTCCTTGTCTAGAAAACATTCAAGACACGTGGCAAATTTTAGAGATCAAAAGATCTGAAATTGGCGGTTAATTTAGAGGTCAAATTTGAAATTATTTGAAATTCAAGACTAGATTTTTAGAAAGTTGCATGCTGAAATTGGAAATTTAACGCTCAAAAAATACAACTTTCGGACGATTCGCCATTACTACAAACTACAAAAATCAGAGAATAGAAGAATAACTGAAAACAATGGAAAAAATGAGCAAAAAAAGGCGAAAAACGGAAGAAATTGAACTTTCCTAAGGCTATCCGACTACAAACTACAACTTTCTCTAAGCCTCAGTAAAAGTTTGAAATTGCTGTAATGTGCCTAGTTTTTGACTGTTTTGGGCCGTTTCTGTACAGAAATCACTGAAATTTCAAGTACTACAAACTACAAAAAGCAGAAAATTGAATAATTGAAAAAAACAACCGAAAAAATGAGCGAAAAAGGCGAAAACTTAAGAAAATTATTTTTCTGAGGCTAAGAAGCTACAAACTACAAAACTTTTCTAAGCCTCAGTAAAACTTCAAAACACTATAACTCGGTTAATTTTCAGTTGTTTTCAGCGCTTTTTGGCTAGAAATGCTCAGAATTTCAAGGAGCTCATTTTTTTGTGCGAAAGAAAACTGTTTCAAGACACAAACCTCATATTAACGTACGGCAAAAGAGCCAAATCGGTTGAAATCAGTTTTTCAGCAAACACAATTCAAAAAACGATGATTTTTCGGGACATCGGTGTAAATGCGCTCCAACGCGAATAATACTGTATGCCTACAGTAAAATTAGCGTTAGACTCGATGCGAAAGCTTTAATTTCAACTTCTCGTCGTCGTTTTAAAGCTACAAATTTGATTTTTTCGACTGCGTTCTCGATTTGTTCGAAACTAGATGAATTTTTTTTCATTAAAATTGATTTTATTAGTCTAGACCGGAAAACATCGAATATGGTAATTTCTTCAGTTTTTTTTTCAATATTTTCCCTCGATTTCCCAATACTGTACAGAAAATACTGAAAAAAAGGGGAAAAGGGAGAACAAAAGAAGGAAAACCCTCATGATGCAAAGGCAATCATTCTAGAAGCTTCTAGGAAAAAAAATACGTTGTGAATCATCGGAAAAAATGGCAGTTTCTGAAAGCGATCAAAATCAGAATCCCATTCCATCGATTTAAAAAAAAAAATCAAAACTACAACAAAAAATTTCATACAACTGTCTCGAAAAAGCACCGAAAACGGTTTAAAATGAGCCGAGTTACAACGTTTCAAAGTTTTACTGAGGCTAACGGATTCTTGTAGTTTGTAGTGTAAGCCTCAGTAAAACTTGAACCGCGCCTAACTCGCTTCGTTTTCTATCGATTTTGATGGTCTTTTCACCAACTTTCTAGAATTTATTGCTGTACACTACAGACTACAAAAAATCTCAAATTTCTCAAATTCCAAAAGTCAAAAAAAATCATCGCCATTTTAAATCGAAATTTTCTAGAATCAAATCCTTTTTTTTAACGATCAGAACCTTTCAATCGATAAAACTTCATAAATCAAAAATTGCTCGCTGCTTTCCTACTAAAAATCGATGGGGCGCCAAAGAAGAGCGTCTCTCTCGGCGTGGCGGGGGGTGAAAAAAATCGAAAAAATGCTATATATAGAGAGAGAGAGAGAGAGAGAGTAGAGAGACGCAGAGAAACACACGAAACCCACACCAAATCACCCCGAAGGCCTTGAGGGCAGCAGCACAGCCACAGCGAAGTAAGCATCATAGCAGTACTAGGAGAGGGAGCGAGAGATTCAGAGGGATGAGGTTGGGGAGAAGAGACGCAGAGAGAAGTTCTACAAGAGAGGGACGAGAGAATCAGAGTCCGCCCGTGTCTAGAGAGAGCGGCGGAGGGGGGGCCGCCTTTCTCTCTCTCTCTCTCTCTCCCTCTCTCTCTCTCTCTCTCCCTCTCTCTCTCTTCCTTCAATTCGTGTCTAAACTAGCGCCTCTAGTTTTCAGACAAATTGAAGAAGTAAGGGAGAGAGAGGGAGAGAGAGAGAGAGAGAGAGAGAGAGAGAGAGAGAGAAACATCTCCAAAGTAGTCGTCGTCGTCTTCTTTACTTGGGGCGCCGTCTCAAGAAGGAAGGGAATCGATGAAGACGTCGTCTTCAGGCGGTCCCCGTTGAGTTGAAGAAGTAAGAAATGAGCAATATAGCTTTCTCTCTCTCTCTCTCTCTCTTTCTCACTGAGAAAAATTCTAATAGCTATCTACAGATGTCTAGAAGAAGAAGAAGGTGATAACGATCCTTGGAAGGTGATATCTTTGTGGGGGACGGGAAAAGAGAACAAAACAGAGAAAAAGAGAAAAAAAAAGAGAAAAAACCAATAACAACAACAACATGAAGAAAAGGAAAAAATACGTTTTCTGCGATTTTCGGTTTTTTTCAGTTGTTTTTACAAAAAGAAAGAGACCAAGAAGAAGGAGCCGAATAAGGTGATTCAGAATTTTTGGGACAAGAAAATCGCCGAAAATCTTGAATAACCGAAAAAAGAGCTTTTTGGAGTCGAAAATTCGATTTTTTCGAGAATTAAATAGTGATAAGGCGCCCCCTGATACGGAGTTTTCAGCTTTTCAAGGAGATGTTATAGTTTAGGGTTAGCAATTGATTTGAAATTTACGTTTGTTTAGAATCGGAAACTCTGAAAATGGCTCTATTTTTAGCTTTTTTTGAAGCTCAAAATTCTGGGAATCACTGACCAAATTTCGAAGTTTTGATTAAGCTAGAAAGCTGGCATTTTCAGCTAATTTAAGTCCCAGTCAACTTTTTTTTGGAGTCAAAGATTTGAATTTTCGAGAATAATCAACCCTAAAACGCTTATTTTTGAAATTTTCGATGGAAATTTTAAATTATCCCGGGCCGCCCGACTTTTAGCAAGATCAGTATCACTCTTGTACGAATTCAATGCGTTTTGAAAGCGGATATCCAGTTAAATGTTTTTTAAAACCGCAAGAGCGAATACTACCGTATCTTTTGAGCCTATTTTGTCGATATTCATAGTTTTTTTCAATGTAAACCGGGGAAAAATGTATTAGAATGATGAAAATCGGTTATTCGAGTGATTTCCATCAATTAAGTTCATTTGTTCTCCAATTTACATTGAAACATTGATAAAATATGCTCAAAACACTCGCTCTTGCGCCTTTAAAATGCATTTCACCAGATATCAGCTCTCAGAATGCATTGATTTCGGTCAGGAGTAGTACTGATCTTACTGAAAATCGGGCAGTTCGGGGTAATTTTAATTTTCCATTGAAAATTACAGAAATAAGAGCTTTTTGGGTTGAAAAGTCTTAAAAATTCCAAACTTTTACTCCAGAAAAGGTCAAGAAGGACCTAAACCAGCTCAAAATGCCATACTTCTAGCTAGATCTAGCGCCAAATTTCAAATTTCTCGAAAATTTCAAAATTGTGCCAATTATGCCTCGAACCTTGATCATCAAAATATTGCCAAAAATTATACATTTTTTAAACGTTTCTAGAACAATTGCTAACCATAAACTCCGTATCAGACTCCTAAAAACTCCGTATCAGGGGCGCCTTATCAATGGGAAAACGACAAAAAAAAATCAATTGCCATAGCCCTATTTACTCTGTTCAATGCAACCTCGCTCCAATGCTCTCCTGAACCGTTTAGTTCTCCAATTCTTTTTTAATCTTTTCCAGCCTTTTTTCAGAGATATCTTTCCGTTTTCATTTTTGTCCGCTCAGTGACTGTTTCTGACGTCATAAGTTAAGAGAATGATGACGGAATAGAATGGTTCGGGGGTGATCGGCCGAGAGAGAGAGAGAGAGAGAGAGAGAGAGAGACGCTTTGTTTGTGTTAGTATCAAACATGTTCGCAAAAATCACAGCGAAATTTTGGAATAGATATACGAACGTAGAGAAGAAGAATCACATGATCTTCTGATGTGAAGAAAAAATTTATGGGATCGTTTTTTTTGTTAAAAGTGTAATCCTTCTCCAGGCCTTCTTCATGGCTCTATTACACTAAAAATTGATGTTTTTTTCATAAAAAATTCATAATTTTAGTGATAGGAAGACCAAAATTGAACGATTTTTCTTAAGTTTATCATCTTTATTGCATTAAAATGTATAGAAATAAATGCAGATTCAAATAGCAAAAAATCTACAGAAAATTCCAGAAAAAGCCAAAATTCGTGATTTCTCTTTTGAGCATTTTTTTCTTCGTCACTATGTGAATCTACACAGTTCTTCCGATTTTAGAATCTTCCACAAGTTTCCAAAAATTGACGACTTTTTCGAGCTATTTCCGAGGTTCCGCCATTTTCAATATATTTTTTTCTGTGAAATTTCTCTTATGAACATTCTTGGAATCTAAAAAAAACCCCAAAAACTTTCAGAAAACCCCCCAAAATGGTTCACATCATCTCAAAAAAGAGCGTCTCGTTCATCGGACAAAGCCTCGCCGCCAAAATCGATGAGCAACTATTCAGCAAGTACGGTTTCAAAGTCGAGCAGCTCATGGAGCTAGCCGGTTTGGCATCCGCACAAGCGATCGCTGCACACTATCCAAAGAGTAAGAGAGAGAGAGAGAGAGAGAGACGCAGAGAAATCCACAAATATTTCAGGCAAAGTGGCCGTCTTGTGTGGACCCGGAAACAACGGAGGCGACGGATTCGTGTGCGCCAGACACCTTCAACAATTTGTGCGTTTTCCTCTTTTTATCATGTTTTCTCAATAGAGCGAGAAAAAAATGCACTAGGGAATTTCGCTAAAACGAAAGATAAAAAAGTCTAAAAAACTAAAAACTACAGCTTTCTCAAAAATCCGAAAAAAATTACTAAAAACAATGAAAAATTAGAAAAAAGGCGAAAAATGAGAAAAACGAATTTCCTGAGGCTAAGCGACTACAAACTACAAGTTCCTCCAAGCCTCAATAGAAATGAAATAAGTTGTAATTTAGTTCATTTTGAACGGGTTTTAACGATCGATTTTTGAAGAGGAATGACTGAAATTGCAAAGACTACAAACTACACTATTTTCTAAGCCTCAGTAAAAGTTTTAAAAAAACTGTAAAATGCCTAGTTTTTCCGTAAAGACTATAAACTACAGATTACAGAAATCCAAACATCCAAAAAATAACTGGAAAAAACAACGAAAAATGGGCAACAGAAAAGCGAAAAACCAAAGAAAATTATTTTCCTGAGGCTAAGCGACTACAAACTACAAAACTTCCTAAGCCTCAGTAAAACATCAAAACGCTTTAACTCGGCTAATTCTCAGCCGTTTTCAGCGGGTTTTTGGCTAGAAATGCTCAGAATTTCGAGGAGCTCTTTTTTGACAAAGCTACAAACTACAAAACTCGTTAAGCCTCGATAAAAATTGAAAAAGTTGTAAATTGGTTAAATTTCAATGGATTTCGACGATTTTTAAAACAAAACGAAGGAAATTTCGAGCCAAGGCGAAAAATTCAGTTTTCAGAGCATTTTTCGCAGCCAAAACTAGTGTCCTTGTTTTCAATAATTTCTAAGCTGTCAATATTCAGGGCTTCAACCCATCCATCGTCTACCCAAAAGAATCGAAAAACGAGCTAATGAAGAGTCTAGTGATTCAATGCGAAACGTCGTCAATCCCAGTCCAGCCAAACCTTCCAACCGATCTTCAATCCTTCCCCCTGATCGTCGACGCTCTATTCGGATTCTCCTTCAAACCACCCGCCCGTGAACCGTTCACCGAGATTCTTAAGGCAGTTCGCGCCTCTGGCATTCACGTATTCTCAATTGACATTCCATCTGGATGGGATGTGGAGAATGGTGCCCCCTCAGAAGCCTCAGAAGACATCATTCATCCCCACGCAGTCATTTCCCTGACCCTTCCCAAGATGTGCATGAAGTCGTGGACCGGTCCACACTTCCTGGGTGGCCGCTTTGTGCCACGTGGATTGGTCGAGGAGCATGGACTGCAAATGCCAGTGTATCCAGGATTCGAGCAAATCGTCAAAGTCGAGGATTGATCATTTGCCAACGGAATATTCTAATTTGCAATTTCTGCATATTTTTTTCCATACTTTTTTCCTGTTTAAAAATGCTAATGAATCTCAATAAAAGGCCTCCATTTCCCTCGTTTTTAACTATTGAAACTCTCTGGAATATGAGAAAAATCCTTCTAGCTCTCCTCCTATTCCTCTCAGCTTTCCAAATGTTCGCTAGCGATTTAGTGGAGGTTTTTGGAATTTCAGGATGTCCGGACACTTCGAAATTCGTTAAAAATCAGCTCGTTCCGTTTTATGAGAAGTTTAGCTCAAATTTCTCAAAGGATTTTAAGTTGGATTTTCATGCGGTACCCACTGGAGGGAGTAACGTCGATGGGCACTATGTGTGAGTCAGACTACAAACTACACCTTCTTTGTAAGCCTCATAGTCAGTAAAAGATTCGGTCTGAAGCCTTCGGTGTAGTGTGCAGCGTTTTGAGACAACTGAAAACTCGCAAAAAAAATCTAGAAAAAAATTACCCCGGGCGCTCAAAATATTTTTACTGAGGCTTAGACTACAAACTACAATTTCTTCTAAGCCTCAGTAAAATCTTGGAATCGATTTAACGCGTTTTAAGTCAGCTGAAACCAACAAAACTTCCCCAGATCAATTTAAAAATTTACTGAGGCTTAGACTACAAACTATAATTTTCTCTAAGCCTCAGTAAAAGCTTCGAATCGATGTACAGGGCTTTCAATTCACGGACACCGCTAAAAATCTAGAAAAAAAGTTTACCAGAGCGCTTCAAGAGGCTCAGACTACAAACTACAAAGTGTTCTAAGCCTCAGTAAAAACGAACATGTTGTAACTCGGCTCATTTTGAACGGATTTTGACAATTTTTAGAGAAAAGAAGAAATAATTTCAACATAGCAGACTACAAACTACAAAACACTATAACAGAAAAAGCCTCAAATGACTGAAAACAACGAAAAATTGAGCGAAAAATGCGAAAAACCAGAAACCGATTTTCCTGAGGCTTAGAGACTACAAACTACGAAAAGTTCTAAGCCTCAGGAAACCACTTTTCTGATCGAAATCGCGGAATACATATTTGAACTGCAAATTTTGAAAAATTGTTTCAAAAATTGAAAAAAAAAACGTTTTACTGAGGCTTAGAACATTTTGTAGTTTGTAGTCTAAGCCTCAGTAAAACTCAAAATCATTGTATTTCGGCTATTTTTCGACGGTTTCGAGCCGTTTTCGTACAGAAATGACTGAAATTTCAAGGACTACAAACTACGAAAAGGAATTTGAAAAAAATTCGAAAACTGAGCAAAAAACCAAAAAATGATTTTCCTGAGGCTTAGAGACTACAAACTACAAAACTTTCTAAGTTTCAGTGAAATTCAAAATTCGCTGTAACTAGGCTATTTTTCGTCGGTTTTCAACCGTTTTTGTGCGGAAATGATTGATTTCTGCCGATTTTCAAGGATTTTCTTCCAGAAACCGATGTCTACATGGAAAAACTGAATGTGCACTGAATAAGCTTCAAATGTGTGCTAAAAAGCATGTCTCTGGTGATTGGATGGTGATAATTGGATGTATTCAGGGCTTGAAGAGCTATAATAAGGCTTTGGAGTGTCTTCCAGCGACGGAAGAGGCGAAAATGTGAGATTTTCGAAATTTTCGGAGCGAAAAAAGCTCAAAAATCCGAAATTTTCGCTCTGAAATAACCCAAAAATCCGTTTTTAGCGTTAAAACTTGTGCGGAAACCGACGAGGGTGAGTATCTACTAAATGACGAGAACTCGTATCGCTTCAATGTGGCACCAGCATCGTCTTGGGTAATATTGAAGACCAAAAATTTTAATTTTTAAGCTGAGCAATGTAATTCCAGCTCCCCTGGATTCAAGTCAACGGAAAACGCGAGCCGTACGCTGAGCACCACCTAAAAGATGTAGTTTGTAGTCTGGAATCGATGAAGAATGAGGAAATGTGTCAGGAAAATTGAAATTTTCATATTTTTGGTTTTTAAAATAATTTCTGAAGGAGAAATCAATAAATTTGGGTTGTTGAAAAACGGAAATTGAGAGTCTGACTACAACGGAAATTGCAATTTAAAGGGACAAGGCGGAAATTGGTTGAAAAATTAGTTTTTCGAGAATTCAAAACCACAAAATAGAATGGAAATTCGGGTTTTCAGGAGAAAAACGAGATTTTCAGAAAAAAAAAATCGAAAAAAAATAAATTTTTGAAAAAATTATTTTTTCGTTATTTTTCAAAAAATGGAAAATTTCGGAAAAATCGGTTCCAAATTTGAATTTCAGCTAGAAAACCTGATAAAAATACGAAAATTCGACTAAAAAACTAAATTTTTTGAGAGAAATTTCGAAATTTTATTATTTTTTAAGCGATTTTTACAGATTTTTGGCTGAAATTCGCCGAAAAATTCAATAGAAAATCAATTAAATGAACTGAAACAAGCAAAAACGTTCGAAAGAAAGCTGATTTTTACAAAAAAGATTGAAAAATTTTGGCGCCAACCGGAAAAATCGTGGATTTTAACTCTTCGTTGCGGGAGCCCGCCGAAAGTTTTCAGGCATGCGCCTTTAAACAAAAGAGTACTGTAGATAATTTTGAAAAATGATTTTTTGAACAAAAATTGGTAAAAAGGGACATAAAAAGGGAAAAATTCGATAAAAATTTTTTTTTCTCTTTTCCCTCGCTGACAAATTTTTCCGCTCAATTTCTTTGGCAGATAGAGCGCGTTTGCAAGGGAAAATAGGCGAAAAAAAGAAAAAATATATAAAAAATAAAAATTAAATTTCAGAAAAACTACAGTGGTCCACATAATCATTGTTCCACCCTGAAGTTTCACTAGAACACCTATTTAGGTCAAATTTCATGAAAAGGTGTCAACATGAAAGTTGTAGCCCTTCTTGAGAAATGGTACCTCGAAAAATTCGGAGTCGACTGCGTGACTCAGAAAAATTTCCTGACCGAATTTCCGGAAAAAACGTTTTTTCTCATCCGCAAAACCATTGTTCCGCTCTCAAAATCACGCTTTTTGGGGAAATTAGGTAGAGAAAATCCTGTTGATAAATTACAAAAATTTTGGAAAGAAGATCAGCTGAATTGTTTGCTTAAAAAGATGAGAAACAAACAAAAAACTGAAAATTAGTTATCTCTGAATCCTCAATGCATCTGGATAGACTGGAAGTTGGAGTGTCTATCGAAAGATACCGGTTATCAGTAATTTGTTGGCCAACTTGGCTCGAAATATCAATGTCTTGGTTTTTTGAGTTCATCCATAATCTGATAGTGTTTGTTAGTTTTGTAAAGTATACGAACCATCAACGCCCATTCATTTTCTATCAGGTTTATGTTGTGTGAATATTTGAAAGTGGTTTTCTTTGAGCCATTTTGAAGATCTTCTCGATTTAGGGATGAGTACTCATTCATAAAAGTGTTTTTAGGTATTGATACATTAGGTAGGCATGTTGTTGGTGACAGTGTCATCGGAAGGGTGATTGAAACTCTCTCAGATTATGGATGAACTCAAAAAACCAAGAAATTGATATTTCGAGCCAAGTTGGCCAACAAATTACTGATAACCGGTATCTTTCGATAGACACTCCAACTTCCAGTCTATCCAGATGCATTGAGGATTCAGAGATAACTAATTTTCAGTTTTTTGTTTGTTTCTCATCTTTTTAAGCAAACAATTCAGCTGATCTTCTTTCCGAAATTTTTGTAATTTATCAACAGGATTTTCTCTAAAAATCTAATTTCCCCAAAAAGCGTGATTTTGAGAGTGGAACAATGGTTTTGTGGATGAGAAAAAACGTTTTTTCAGGAAATTCGGTCAGGAAATTTTTCTGAGTCACGCAGTCGACTCCGAATTTTTCGAGGTATCATTTCTCAAGAAGGGCTACAACTTTCATGTTGACACCTTTTCATGAAATTTGACCTAAATAGGTGTTCTAGTGAAACTTCAGGGTGGAACAATGATTATGTGGACTGTATTAGAGATTTCTAGCTGAAAATTTCAGAATATACTTAACAAAACTGGAGCTTCATTTTTGTAGTTGACAACTTTTTCGAAAAATTAGGTCCTGGTGAGATATTTCGATTTATTTCCCACGTAAACCTTTCTAAATAAGCTCCGCCCATTTTTATCGATTTTGGAATTTTCAAAAATTCCAAAAATTATTCCCAAACGCAAAAGTTGTGGCAATCTCTCCCAGACGTTCACTCATTACACAGACAGGGCCAATATCTTTTGATACAAGTAAAAAGGATTACTGTAGTTTTAATTTTTAAAAATAAATCATTCCCAGATTTCTGCAGTTTCACTAATGACGGACGGTTTTGTGTTGATTGTGTTCTACGTTGCCACGTGTGTTTGTAAGTATCGGGAAATGCGCAAAGGCACATTTCCGGTGCCTTGGCGTCTTTCTAGTGTTTGGCAACAAAAATGCGTCAAGGCACCGGAAATGCACCAAGACTCTAGAAGGGCGCAAAACACGGTACCTTAGTGTCTTTCTAGAGCTTGGCACGAAAAAAAAGCACCGGAGATGCGCAAAGGATCCGGAAAAGCGCAAATCACGGGACCTTGGCGTCTTTCTAGAGATTGGCACGAAAAGCGCACCAAGACATCGGAAATAGGTCAAGGCACAGGCACTAGAAAGGCGCAAAGGATCCGGAAAAGAGCAAAAAACGGTTTCTTGGCGCATTTCTCGTGCCAAGCTCTAGAAAGTCCACAAAGCACCAGAATAGCGTCAAGGCACTAGAAAGACGCCAGGGATCCGGAAAAGTGCAAATCAAGTAGCTTGGCGTCTT